AGTTTCATCTTGACAACATTGAGATGGTGGTCCGAAGCTCCTTTTCTAGTTCTCACGTCCCCCATTGACCATCTGATCTTTTTACTGATGAAATTATGATCTATCTGGTTATCCGTGGTGTAGTACGGCGAGATCTGTGGTGGACCAAATAATATGAGCTCAAAATTGATAACAGAGTTATTAAGTACAAGCTGTAATGTTAGTATATATCAGTTAAACGTTATAAACACAACAAAAATTAGAGACGTTACTTAATTCATCAGGTTTGTGCGTGTTCCGGTTGAGTTTGGTACCAAAATCCACAATCACAGATGACTGAAGATTCCAGTAAGATTGATGTCCTTCCAGTGACATAACCAAACGTGGAATATGGTATAATTTGGTTATAGTCTATAAATGTAGACGATAGTTGATTTAGAGTTCAGTTAACACAATCACGAGCAATGGAGAACAAGAGGTATGTGTATAGCAGTGCATTTGTTAGTAGGTAACAGCATGTGTCATGCTATGAGTGTAACACGACGTAAGAAGTGTGTTCAAGGTCATACAGTTAAACAACACGTACAATCATTTAATGGTAAATGTACAGGCTATGAAAAACCGACAGAATAAATACAAATATCATCAAAAACCATTTACAAAATAAGCTTGTCATGCATATTTCCACAGATCCATGTGGCTTTGTGCATGAGTTTGTGGGGGAATATTGTGCCGCATATAACCCTTTTGTTGCGAACCTGCCACCATTCTCGTTCCTCAGCCACAGTCCATGTCATTCCATGACATCTCCATACGTGATGTTGTTCATTTCGACTTTGGCGTTCAGGTTCCCCATTAGGATGGTCAGGTCATTTCCTAGGTACTGTTCTATGATCGACTGCAGCCTCTCGTAAAACTGATCTTTATTGTCGTCGTTGCTATCACTGATGGGTGCATAACAGTGGATAGTATTCGTTGTAATCCCCTCCTTCTTCGTTTTGAATGATGCTTTGGTGATCCTGGATCCATGAGATTGCCATCCTATTAATGCATTTTCTTCTTCATGACCTGTAGCATCTCTCCCGAATCCATCATTTTCTGTCTAGATTGGGTCCGAAGGTTTCACTGATTCCGAACACTGTCAAGTTGTATCTCTCCGTTTCCGTAGGGGTTTTATTGGCCCTCCAAATCTTCTACATTGGTCGAACATTCCACGTATTTACATTAATTGTTGCTCTGATTGTTGGAAGGAGCGTCTGACTCATGGCTTCCGAAGAATCTCGGCTTTCATCTTGAGGGGTCATAACTATCCTAATTGTTGATGTTCATTATTAGACTAGTTTCAGTGAGATGTTTCAAATGTACCTGACAAATTTTGTTGGTACTTTTACCAAACTCGTCAATGTCCAATCGTTTAATGTGCGTTAAAGTAACGAATACTTTGTTAAGGAAGACAAAAGTTATTGGAAAGAATGGCATACTTGAGTAGTCAGAGATAAATAAACTCTAGACACTTCGTTTGGCTATCTGGATGATTGATGGAGAGGTTCTACCAACCCGTTTACTTGTGGATGGTAGGCAGTCGTTCGGAAGCGAGTGATTCCTAAAAGTGTGGTCAGACGACGGAAAAGTTCAGATTCAAACTGACGCCCGCGATCTGTAGTGACGGTTGAAGGGCAACCGAAGTTTGCTAATCATCGTTCGACGAAGGTGCGGGCCACTGTTTCAGCAGTGATGTCCTTAATAGGTACTGCTTCTGGCCATCGAGTGAAACGGTCTACGCAGGTTAAGAGGTAAGAGTATCCATTTGAATCTGGTAAAGGTCCTACTAAATCCAGATGAACATGGTCGAAACGAGCATCGGGAGTTTTAAATGAGCCTAAAGGACACTTATTGTGTCTGATAACCTTAGATTTTTGGCAGCTTACACAGGAGCGTGCCCACTCTCTCACGTCTTTATTCATGCCAGGCCAGCAAAACCGTTCTGCTATAAGCTTGATGGTTGCACGGACGCCTGGATGAGAAAGTTTGTGCAATGGATTGAAGACATTGCGTCGATAATGTTTCGGCACGATTGGGCGATCCCTACCTGTAGATGTGTCACAAAGTAAGGTTTCGTTACCTTTTCCCATCTGTTTGATGCGTAGTTTAAGGGTTGTGGACGATAACTCATGCTGAAGATCAGTGTCTTCTTTTTAAAGCTCGGGGAGTTTAAGAAGGTCGATTCCTTGGAAACTGTTCAAGGAAGTTATGCGAGATAAGGCGTCTGCAACTACATTGCTTGCTCCAGAAATATGTTGAATATCTGAAGTAAACTGCGAAATGTGGTCCAGTTGTCGAGACTCACGGGGAGAGTATTTGTCAGAAGGAGAGCTTAACGAGAAAGTGAGCGGTTTATGGTCCGTGAAAAGAGTGAATTCACGGCCTTCGATATAGTGTTGGAAATGCCGTACAGCACGATACGTAGCTAGGAGTTCCCTACCGAATGTGCTGTACCTTGATTCGGTGTCTAGCAACCTTCTAGAGAAAAATGCCAAGGGTTGCCAGGAGTTGTTAACCCATTGTTGTAAGACGCCTCCGATTGCCGAGTCCGCTGCGTCTACTGCGATACTAATGGGTGCTTCGGTGTCCTGATGTGCGAGCATTGTTGCTTTAGCAATCAGTTCCTTAACTGTGGAGAATGCTTTTCGTGCGGTGTCGTCCAAATTAATGGATTTCGCATTTCCACGAAGTTGGTCGGTCAGGGGTTTCATAAGTAATGCGCATTTCGGTATGAAACGTCTATAGAAACTTACAAGGCCGTTGAACGTGCGTAATTGCTTGATGGTGGTCGGTTCTGGGTAATCCAGAATGGCCGCCACTTTGGTCCTAAGAGGTCGAATGCCTTGAGCATCGATAGTGTGTCCTAGGAAGTCTAACGAGTCGGTTCCGAATTGGCATTTCTGAACGTTTACAGTAATGCCATGTTTTTGTAGTCGTTCTAAAACAAGATCCAGATGCTTGAGATGTGTTTCTCTGTCCGGACTTGCGATTAGACAGTCATCAACATACGCGTGTACGAAGTTGAGACCTCGAAAAACGTCGTCGAATCTTTGGAATGTTTGAGCAGCGTTTCTTAGACCGAAAGGCATTCGCAAAAATTCATAGAGTCCGAAGGGAGTTATGATAGCTGTTTGCGGTATGTCGTCAGTAGCCATAGGGATTTGGTTATACGCTTTAGCCAAGTCGATTTTCGAAAAACAGTTGTACCTTTCAAGGTAGCTGTCAAACCGTGAATGTGAGGCAACGGGTAACGATCGGGAATGGTTTTCGCGTTCAATCGCCGATAGTCACCAGTTGGACGCCAATCGTTGCTGTCCTTTTTAGGGACCATGTGCAACGGAGATGCATATGGGCTGTTTGACGGTCGTATGATTCCTAAGTCTATCGTGTGGTCGAACCCGTTTTTCGCCAACCTTAGTTTTTCGGAGGCTAGTCGTTGTGCTTTAGAGAATACAGGTGGTCCTGTAGTCGTGATGTGATGTGTAACGTTGCTAGTTACACACGGTAACTTCGGTTGCGTTTGCTGAATCCCAGGATACTTATCGAGTAGTGGTTGATAAAGTGGATCTATCGTATGCTTAATTGTGACTGAGGATAATCTGCAACTAGAAAAAGAAGTTATGCAAACGGATAAATTAGTGTTTCTGTCTACTAGCCACTGTTTGCGCGTATCGATGATCAGATTGTGATGTTGTAGAAGGTTCATACCAATGATTGGCATAGAAGATCTGCAACAACGAAAATCCAGTGAATGGGTTTGCGTAAACCCACGTTAAGGTAAACGTACCTTTTGCCATACGTAACGATAGGTTTTCCGTTTGCCGCCTGTGAATTTAAAGCCGATTCGTGAAGCCGGTCGTTGGAAGTTGCTGCGAGAACGCTAACTTCTGCGCCAGTGTCGACGAGGTAGCGAACTCTCGTTGTCACATCTGTGACGAATAACAGACGGCTTTGTTCGCCGGCTACGGTTGCCGTTAACGCGTGCCGGCTTGGAAGTTTCCCGAATTGCTTTTCGAATCAGTTGGTTTCGTGTTTGGGAAATTGCAGGGTTTTCTGCAATTTCCGGAAAACTTTCCATACTGGTTATGATACCAGCACCAGTCGGGGTTATCTGTCTCTCGTGGTCTAGAGACAGATCGCTTACGTGACATGCTTCTACGTGGGGTGCGCGATCTCTTACGGTCGGTACGAAGATTAAGATAACGCGTGAGTGTATGGAAAAACTCGGTTATGTCATTCTGAGTCGTTTGGAGCTTTTCTTTGACTGAAAAAACCTCGGTAGTAGAAGATTTCGTAATCTCTAAGATACGATCGGCAGATGCAGCCAGCTCGTCTAAGGCGTTGTTCTGAAACGAGACCAGAACCGCCTTCACCTGTTGGGGAAGTTTTGACAAGAAAAGTTGTTTGATCAGACCTTCGTCGAAAGTTCTTGGGCCTATAACCTCTCTCATCCGTTGCAACATGTCCGTCGCAGAACCGTGTTGCAGGTCGATGTTATTGAAGAGTTGATCTAACCTTTGTCGATCGGTTAGGTCTCCTCGTTTAAGAATCGAGCGTTTTAAGATTTCGTAGGGATCGGAAACATCACTAGTAAACATACTAGGTGTTACGTACCTGTTGAATTCGCGCGGTAATGCCTTGACTACTGCGAGGAATTGTGCACGTGTGTCGATCACGCCGTGCTCGGAGAAGTCGGCTTCTGCGTAGCAGAACCAGGCTTCGATGTTGTCGGGCCAGAAAGGCATAAGTTGAAACGAAGGTGAGGACAATGTCTTAAGCTTGAGTACTTTAGGTGTCTGTTCAGTCATGATGAAGTATGAAATACGATAATGAACGAGGGGAAAAGATATATATATCCAAGAAAAAACACGAAAAAAAATCACAAAGTTTAAAAAAAACAATAGTTTCGATGGGTGAAGAAAGCATAGTAGATGTATTTACTTATAGCACTTATAATTTTAGGAAGTGTTCAATAACGACAGAGCGACGATATCAGGCGTAGTTTTTAAAAATACGACAACTTGTATCGATTATCGAATTATCCTAACAACACACCTGTTACCACTGATTGTTGTCAGTCGCTTTCATTTCTCGATGTAAGTGCATTCTATGTGGTTACTGAGTCAACTTATGAGCTGTTTTACAAAAACTGAAAAGTGTAATCTCTATATTTACCTCTCAAACTCACCTCATAGATGGATGAGATTTTCGAACATTTCCATAAAGTATTTGAAGATATGACCTTTTCAGGGTTCTTTACTCGTAAGCTTTGGGCTAAAATTCTATTGTTTTAATATAAAAGCAAAGTTCAGAAATCAGTCACCACGTGATGAAATGCTACGCCGACCGGTATGTCTTCTATTTACAAAACTGACATATTTTAGGAGAATGAATCAGATTACTTGCAAGTGCCGGAGCCGTGGATCCCTTTTCCGTTTTATGGAGACTTGGTAAAACCAGATATGATGGACAGAAAAATGTTCAGTGAGACATTGGTAAGTCCATAAGTTGAAATCCGGATGACATTGATGTTTGTTAAGTAGAAATAAGATGTTTCATTTCGCATGCAATGGTGTGTTCCACTCTGTTCTTGAGTCGCCTCACGTGTTCAGATTCACGAGACCCATGATTATGCACGTAGGTAGGCACTTTAACTCTTGTTCTCTGATTGTACGTTTCTACATCTTTGTAAAACCAAGTCCAGAAGTCTTCAGTAGTAAGGATAGAAGGTCTATCGACTTATATTAATCCTTGAAACTCGTAACACTGGGCGTCCAACCTCTTTTTGAATGCATCAACCGGTGCCGATGTTACGTGTCGCGGTAGAGAATTTCAGTGAATCACTACTACGTGCGGGAAACCGAATTCCAGACGTAAATGACTTGATCTCCATTTTGAACTTTCTTAAGGTGTCCTCTCATATTGTCAGTCCTAGATGAGAGGAAAATATAAGACATCAATATAATTTTTCAGTATACGGTAAGCCAGTAGAAGGTCGGCTTGTCAAACATAAAAAGGCCACTCCTAAAGATACGTTATTCTTCCACATAGTTTAGAATGGTCATTTAGGTAGTTTTTTCCCGTTAGTTTGACAGTCATATTAGTAAGGCCGGCAGGTCGATAGTGATTAACTAAGTCTCTACTCCCTATATTGTGAACCAAATCGATGATCGCGTCTTTCCAGTTTCGTGGTAATTTCGACTGTTTCCAAGACATGAGACAGTTTTACCAGAGGTCCAGCTTTCAAAATGCTAGGATGAATATCGTCATTACCACCAGACATATCTGGTTTGAGATGTAGTAATCTTATGACAGTTCCTTTCTCAATAACTACAGGGTCCACCGACAAGTCGCCCTGGTCGAGATTAATTGTTAGTCGTCTCTCATTGCCGGTAGAAAACACTACTAAGATATTCTGATGAATCTTCAGCTTTTTTGGCATCATCTCTTGCCAATATCAACTGATTTTCTTGTATCAACAGTTGTGGAATTCCATCACTTCTGTGAGTTCGCCTCTTTATATACGAGAATAACCTTTTCGGACAGTGTTCAAAATCCCTAATCAGTTTTTTATATGACTGTCTAGTCTTCTCAACGCCTTACTAGCATTCCTGGTCTTACAATACCTGGATCTATACTGTTCTAAACCTGTAGAGATGAACAAATTCCAATGCTTTTTCTTATGCCTAAGAAGTTTATTGACTTTAGTTACCCATGGTGGTCAGTCAGTTAGGTACAAGGTAAGATCACGCACATATATGCGTCGATCCACGTTGCCACACCTCATTAGTACAACAAAATAAACAAGATAAATGCCCTGGTACGGCCGAGAGTGGGGTGAGTCCGCTCTCCCTCTCGAAATACTCTCACACGGCCGCGCGTATACAGCCTCTGCCAGGGAAGTCCTACTCACTGCCTTCTCGAGGCGGGGGTGTTGTTTACGAAAATGAGAGGACGAAAAGCGAATGTCCGGCGCCTTAACCGGATCCCAAACCAAATCAATGGTGCACATGGGCTCCAGTATCCTGCGGGAACAAATGGCGTATGAATCAATCTTTGGTCACCGGCTACCATGGGATTGCATCTCCTTACGATGCTCCACTGCCTTGTGGGTTAGACCTTTAGGTCAAAGGCTCGGGGAGTGGCCCCCTAAGACAACCACCTGCTTCGGTTTGGGCACCCGGGCAGTATCACAGCCCACACACAAACGATGAACTCTATGTCTATGGCAACTACTTTTCTCGCTCCGAAAAACAATCAATCGATTCAAATAATTATCATTACTATTATTGTCATTATTAATACTATTATTATTACTATTATTGTCATTATTATTATTATTATCCACATTAATCACTCTCTTTTATAATTATACAGCGGCTCGTCTTTGGTGGAAATCCGACTGTATCTAAACGTTCTCGAGTCACTGTCCGGTCGAAAATTGTATGTTACCATCGAATATGAGTACTGAAGCAGTTTTTCTAAAACCACGTGCGCCATTCAAACTGGCTGCCTTCAACGTTCCCACACTTATGCAGGTCGGAAAACAGATAGGGCTGGCTATGTCTTTGGAAAGTCCTAATATCGATGTTTGTTGTCCATCCGAGACCCATATTCAAGACTCTGATGAAGTAATACAAATTCGCTCTACATCTGTCGCTTCAAAAAGCTTGTTTTATGTGCGTTTATCCGGGGACCCTGTGGCATCTTCGTCTGGTCTTGCTGGCGTTGGTGTCGCACTAAGCGCTAGAGCTGAGGCAGCACTAATCGATTGGATCCCCATTAACAGTCGGTTATGTGCTGTTAGATTAGAGAGTTCCATCAAAGTGAGAAGAAATCGGCGTGAGAAACGATGTCTTTTCGTTATCTCCGCCTATGCCCCGACAGATTGCAGCCCGGATGCAATGAAGGATGAGTTTTACCACCAGTTAACTGTTCTTCTCCAGAAAGTGCGTTCGACAGATATTGTAGTACTAGCCGGAGACTTGAATGCTCAGGTCGGGCGTCTAGGCACAGAAGAGTCGTTTAGGTGGCCAATGGGGACTTGTTGGTCGCAGGTCAGATAACGGGGACTGTCTACTGCAACTGTGCACAGATCACAACCTGTTTCTGGCTAGCACTAACTTTCGGTACAGTCATAGCCGATGTACCACCTGACGTCCTCCCTCTGCATCTCAGGCCTGGACTCAGATTGATCACATCGCGATCAGCTACCGCTGGCGTGGTTGTGTACAGGACTGCCGCTCCTTTTGGAGCACCAATCTGGACTCTGATCATACCCTGGTCTGCGCCAATTTTACCTTACTTTTCAGTGACCAACGAATTGATCGTCACTAAAGGATTGATGTTAGCAAGCTGGTTGAAACTTCTGTTGCTAGTAAGTATCGAACCGAGCTAGTTTCTAGGTTAGCTACTATTCCACCGAATATAGATGAGGATTGGTTGCAATTGCATGACGCCATGAAAATGGCGGGAACAGTCAGTTGTGGGTTTGCGAAACGTCCCGCTTTTAAGCACTGGGTTTCTTCTGGTTCCTTACAACTCATTGAAGCCCGTCGGTCTACTCCGGGTGACCGTGAGTTTGACCACAAACGAAGGATGTTACGTAATGAAATTGGGCAAAGCTTGCGTAAGGACCGAGAAGCCTGGTGGTCGAAGCGTGCTAATGAGCTGGAAGCAGCAGCTGCATCTGCTAACTACAGGAAGCTCTTCCAGCTCATCCGAGCCACTGGCAGCAAGAAGTCTGGTGTGAGTGAAACAATCTGCGAGGATGATGGGATGCCAATCACTAACATCCATCGACGTCTTGGACGATAGGCAGAATTTTTCGAAGGGCAGTTCAACTGGCCTGCTTCTCCGGCAACATCGGTCAGACTGTCCTGCCCTCCATGGCCGGTGACGACTGGTCCACCAAACGAGGAGGAAGTCCGCAAGGAACTCCAACTCTTGAAGCGTTACAAATCACCTGGCCCAGATGGCTTACCTCCGGCTCTTTTTAAAGATGGTGGTGACTTTTTGACTAAGGAATTGACGACGTTGTTTACCAAGGTTTGGGAACTAGAGAGTGTACCAACGTCATGGAATGAGTCGATAGTTGTCCCTATCTTTAAAAAGGGTTCACGTCGTTCCTGCAACAACTATCGGGGGATAAGTCTACTTCCGATTGCGTCCAAGCTATTGGCTTCCGTCATACTTCGTAGGTTGTTCAAAACTCGAGAAAGATTGACTCGCGAGGAGCAGGCTGGGTTTCGTTCCGGTCGAGGATGTATTGATCATATCTTCACCCTCCGCCAAATGTTAGAACACCGCCATACTTATCAAAGGCCAACAATCGTAGTGTTTCTTGACATCAGGGCTGCCTTCGATTCGTTGGACAGGACTGTTCTCTGGGATTGTCTATTGAAGAAGGGTGTGCCTGAGAAGTTTATTAACATCCTAAAAGCCCTATATACAAACACCTCAGGCAGAGTGAGGGCATACAACCACCTCTCTCCATTGTTCCATTCGAGTAGTGGGGTTAGGCAGGGTTGCCCAATCTCACCATTCCTCTTCAACTTTGCCATCGATGACATTCTGAAAACAGCTCTGATGGATGTAAGTAATGGTGGTGTGGATCTGTTGCCTGGAGAAAGACTTCTCGACTTTGAGTATGCGGACGATATTGTCTTACTGTGCGATAATGCCCAAGGCATGCAATCCGCACTTAATCAGTTGACAATCAGTGTCCGTAGGTATGGTATGTGCTTCGCACCTTCGAAGTGCAAAGTACTTCTACAAGACTGGCAGGATTCTAATCCTGTACTCACCCTGGATGGTGAGGAGATAGACGTAGTTGAGAAGTTCGTGTATCTGGGTAGCTGCATAAGTGCTGGTGGGGGTGTGAGTGATGAGATCAATGCACGAATAGTGAAAGCCAGAGCGGCTTATGCCAATCTTGGCCACCTTTGGCGCCTTCGTGATGTTAGTCTGGCTGTAAAAGGCCGGATCTACAACGCGTCGGTGAGAGCAGTTTTGCTCTATGCTTGTGAAACCTGGTCTCTCCGAGTTGAGGACGTTAGACGACTATCTGTGTTCGATCATCGCTGTCTCCGAAGGATTGCTGACATTCAGTGGCAACACCATGTCAGTAATGCAGAGGCTCGGCATCGTGTGTTCGGGCACAGAGATGATAATTCAATTGGTGTCACCATCTTGAAACACCGACTTCGGTGGCTTGGACATGTTCTACGAATATCGTCCCAGAGAATTCCACGTCGTGCATTATTTGCCGACTCTGGGACTGGTTGGAAGAAGCGGAGAGGTGGTCAGTGCATGACATGGTGAGCGCGTATTTGCCTGCGTCTTACTGGACGTAGGAAAGACGCTGCAAGGAAACCTCTTAGGGGCCTACTTAATGATAGTCAAGCTAAGAGTATATTTCAGGAACAACTAGGAAAACAGTTAGGCAGCCATGTATGTGATGCTCACCCCGAGGCAGCATGGACTGATATCCGAA